GATGAGTTTCAGCAGTTCTACCGGTAGTTCTCGGTATTGCATAGAACTGTTCAAAACTGCCATTAGAACTGCAGGAATTCATCAGCACGACAGATTTTCACCAAGTGTCGTGCTGGACCCCAGAGTTAAAAATTGTTTAAAAAATACGTACGGTCCGGAACTGTCTTTAAAACTATTACTAATGCATAGAACTCTTGCAGAACTGTCGAGAACTACCGGTAGTACCGGTAGAACTGCTGAAACTCATCAGCACGACACATTTTTACTTAGTGTCGTGCTGGTCCCCGATATGGAAAATTGTTTAAAAATTGTTAATGATGTAATATCGATCCGAAATTGCATATACATGTGAAACTTGAGTAGAACTATCGAGAACTCTCGAGATATGGACAGAAATGATATTAGTGAATGCGTTTTGGTACTTTAGAGGGGAGGGTGTCGTGCTAGATTCGCGAAGTTAGCACGACGTTTTTTAAAATGTGAGTTTTTCATATAAGGAGTGCGGATCTCTTTCTAATTTTTATCAGGAACTGTAGAACTATGAAAAGTGCTATTGGAACTCTTGGTATTTTTTTGGAATTCGTAGAATGTCGTGCCAACTTCACAGACACAGTTTCTGCTAAATTAATAGGCATCATCTATCGGTTCTACCACGAATTTATTGCCCTTGGAGTAATATCCATTTAGTAGCAAATTGATTGATAGATCGTGTAATCGTTGCGAAAAAAATTTGTGATTTAATTTGGACGTTGAAAACCTACTATCTCGTATTACTCCTACCTCATAATAATGAACTTTCCTCTAAATTCACATTTATAATCGCGAATCAAGGGACAAACTCCGATAAAGCCTATTTTGAGACACAGTCTGAAGTCTTTTTTTCGCGAATCAATTCGAGTTTTGAAAAAACTATCATGTATGGATTACTATATCTTGGGATTTATTGTTACATTTTTGCTGAATTCTCAATTAAATCTTAAATTAGCAAAAATAAGAAAAAACAAGGGAATAATTATATTTTTCCAATATTACCTCGTCTGATTCTGAATCAAATGTCCTTATTTATTTATACTTTCGAACACGATTATATATGATTCCATATATTTAAAATGAACGTTATAAATTTATAGTAATTAATTTTAATTAATACTATTTTTTAGTACTCGTATAGCGACATTTCTTGTTTTCGAAAAAAAGCAAGTTGATTTACATTCGATTAGAATATACAGGGTGTACCTAAACTGGCGATAAATATTTTAATGACAAGTACTTTGTAACATTTTGAGACGAAAATTCTAATACGAAAAAGTCGAGGCTATAATATTTTTCAAATGGGAACAGTTTAACCATCTCGAATAGCAAAGCTAGAATTTCGCGCGCTCAGGGATGGCAAAATGGTCAGTGATAAAGGTGCTTCCTTGAACCACACGTCTTTGACATTAATGAAATTAGTGTAAAAATGTATGCAAGAGTTTTATTAAGAAACTATTTCTGTTTATTTGCAATGAATTTTAGAAATAGTTTAAAATGTTTTTTTTTCAATAGCTCAAATCGATATTGATTTGTGTCATCAACTGTCATCAGCATATCTATTTGGTTAAATTGGTAAATCTCCGCGATGAAATTTGTCGCAATTTAACCAAATAGATATGCTGATGACAGTTGACACAAATCAATATCGATTTGAACTATTGAAAAAAAACATTTTA